ATGCCTGTCAAATTTCAATAATAAATAAGCCCTCTTAAAATATAAAAAATATTTCTGAAGATTCWTGCTATAGAGTTAAATTAGTGTTATGATATTACATAAACATATTAATATAATAACTGTGAGATTCTTATAGGTTCCTAGAATTTTAAAATTAAAACAATACAAATAATAAAATAATAAGAATTTAAAAGTCAAATTATAAAAAATTCAAATTAACATTATTTTGATACCTGATTTTATGAAATAAAAGAGAATGACCAATGTGTGAATTCTGTGTTGACAGCTATACCCAAGGCTCTGTATTAGTCTGTATAGGTCAATTTTGTTGCCATGGTAATAGGTCCCTGTATCTCTGTGGCTAAAACCATAAAGTTATATCATATGTTGTATCTCACCTTAGCCTGGTACAAAGCAAATATGCAGATATGCAGAATGATTTTTACTAACAGCCTGAAATATTGGTCATAACTAGTCAAGTAGCCCCATCTAACTGTAAGAGATTTGTGAAATATGTCCAAGAGGTATATGAAAACAGATATTCTTGAGCATCAGTATTGATGACCACAATTCCAAAACTGAAATTTTCTACTCTAAAATTCCTGAAATATGAGTTGCCATGGAAACAAACAAATTTTTTTTAAAAAAACAAGTTGTTTCCATTAAATGTACATTCTTAAACAAAAGAATAGATATCAATGATTGTTATTATTTTGATATTAGAAGTATTGGAAGTAAGCTATATCTCTTACATTCAAAGTTAAAGCTTGCTGTTTTAATAAGTGCACACTTGGCCCTGACAAGATAATAAATACATTTGCCAGTATGAGCCATGAACACTTGAAAAAATATTTGATTATAAGGTTGTTATTGAGATCATTCAAAGTAACAATTTTTATGGTGAGTAAAATAAGATCTCAAAATAAAATTGTATAGATAAGTCATGGCCACCTGTGAGAATATATTGCCAACCCCACAATACAAGAAACAACACATACAGCTATTCTGTCTGTAAAGCCAAGTGCCAATACAAATGACAACAAAATATCTAAAGCATTGAAGAACAAGATCATTGTGGATTGGAGTGGTACTGAAAGGATTCACAGGCAGGAAGGACTTATATTCAGCCTTGAAAAGATAGAACCTAAATACGCATAAATGAGGAGAGAAGTAAACTCTTAGAACATTGAGCATCATAAAGAGGAGCAGGGTGAGGTGGGAGCAAGGTTTGTTTATGGGTTAAGAAGGTAAACTATTTGCAATAAAGAGTTTGTTCTGAAGAATATTTTTAATTTTTAAATGTGCAATAAGAAAACAGAAAAATTCTGAGTGAAAACATTTGCTTTTGATTGAAGATGGTTTTTGGTCATATAATGAAATTTGTTTAATGAATAGTGGTAAGACAGTGTTGATCATAATGATAGACAGATATCAAATACCTATGATGTGTAAAGCAATATATTAGCCACGTTGGTTGAACTATCTATTTTCATAATAACCTAAACCCTAAAAGCTAGATAATACTATCCTTATTTTTACAGATAAAGGAAGAAGATCTCAGAAATTTTTGATAACTTTATAATAATATTTCATGTCTTAAAAGAAGGTATTTGAGGCCAGCTTGACCTCAAGTTCTTTTTTCTACATCATTCTAAATGAAATATACCTACACATATCAGACCTTCTATTGAATCAGCAATAAATTAGTCAACCACAGTGGAGTCACTTTTACTGAAATAAGTACATTTTATGTATTTTATATGATTAGGTAAAGTTTATGAGTTATCAACATTTCTATGATTTAATAAATTGCTTTTTGTAATTATCAAATAGGAAAACAGAACATATTTGTATTATCATAATAAATTAGCATTTAACAAATCCTACTTTTACATTTTTGTTTGGCCACATATCACTTTGTCAGCATTAGGAAGTAATATGAATAAAAAGGAAATTTGTTGTTTCATTATGCAGTTATTTTCTTACACTTTTTCTGTTTTCCTAGAGAAAAATCCACAAAAGTTGGTAGGCTCAGTGAAAAAAAAATGGCACTGTCTTAAATACAGTTTCCCAGGCCAGTGATCTTGGGCTGTTAAAATGCAATTGATTTTCCCTGTTTATTTTTGTTAGGTTTTCTGATGTATTGTAGCAGCTACAATATGGTCTACCAGTATGTAAAGAACCCAGAATTAGGTGGTAGACAACAAAAGCAATCAACCAGGAGATATAAGGTATAAGCAATCATCAAGGAGACTTGATCTATAAACTTGGAAATAATGGAAGTCGTCCTTAAGTAAGGTGGAATCAACATCCCAGTTTAATAGATAAAGATATTGCAGAACTTTGATTAAAATGAGGAGCACGGGAAGAGTTGGAAAGTTAAAAATAATACCCAAACAACTTCAGATTAGGTTCCATTTAATTTGAACACCTTAGGGGAAATGGTGGTAGTCAATAGTTAGATTGCTTCTCTTTGTCATTGCCTGAAATATATTAGGGTAATGTTGCTGGCAGAAGGGGGCATGGGGAGTAACTTGACTATTTTTTCCTTTTAGACATCAGAATATCAGGATGTCCTTCTGAAGACATATGAATCTGTATAACTCTAACATGTTACTGGGTCATATGAAGACCTTAGACATTATATGTTCAAGTGATGAATAAAAGAGAAAAAGAATAGATGAATGAAAACTATTGTTTTCCTTTGTTCAAAAGGGGCTGCTCTTCTTTAAAACTAGTGTGAACTGACTTAGTGGGTGAAATGTACCTGAATAAAGATCCAATCTATGTGCATACACTGCCTGGCACTCTACACAAAATGGCATTCAAAATGTGTGTCATTTGATATTTTGCAAATTATTTTCTAAAATTATTTTCTAAATGCACTGGGCTTGAATATCTCCATGCTTTTCCCATTGCTTTAAGAATAAAGTGTCAAATTGCTGATGTGTCCAATAAGGCAGAGTCTTGTCTGATCTCTAGCCCTATATGATGGAGATCTCTAACACTGTTTCCACATGGCTGATAGCCTGGCAATTGCTAAGACATGTGTTAGAGAACTCTGGAAGACAGCATAGTATAGCAGTTTGGAGCAGGACTCCAGGGTCCAGAGTGCTGAAATAGGAATTCTCCTTTAGCAGTTTAGTAACCCAGCAAGTTACTTAACCTTACACAGCCTCACTTTTATCATTTTGAAAATGGAACTAATAACAGCACCTTCTTCATAGTATTGTGATGAAAAGTGAATGAGTTAACTTTAAAATCATTGCATGTACCTGACCTCTAACCTGTGCTCTATAATATGAAATTAATCATAATTCCATACATTTCTATAAAACTGACTACCAGAATATGAGGACAACAGAAAATCATGGAATGAGAGGTTAAAGGAAACCAGAATTCAGGCAGCAAAGAAGATTGTGCTGTTTTCTTTGGTGGAAGTAAGGGATAGACTTGAAAATGCTTACAGAAGAGTGAAAGATTCAGAAGCAAGAATGAACCTGAAGATAAGAGATACAAACCCCAGAAAAAGTAGGAGAAATTGAGACCAACAGGTGAAGTCATTGTCTTTCAAAAGAAGCATGAGCCTATACAGGGTGTGAGTTCTTTGCCTCCATTATCCTTATCCATATTTCTCTTTTGAAACCATGAGTTACATTGTAGGTCACAAAAGCATTATTTATTAAAAGACACCCCAAGTCATGGATTTTCACAAATTATCTCTACTACTACTTAATGTTTAATCCATACACCTGCTGTTTTGTGTGCTAAGAATGCTTTTCCTTTAAATTTCAACTTTCCTGCACTGATTTCTCAATGAAGTGACTGTTTCGTCATTGAAACAATTTCTAAGTCCAGGAGAATTCAAAAACAATGACCTCAATTAAGCCAGCATAGCTTGCCCTGGACTTACTCTCATGTCCTCAGTGGTGGGTCTTCAGTTGGTCTCACTGCTTGCCAGTACCTCCTAACAGAATGAACATCTAACAGAGCAGTGACTATGTCCATAAATTTATCTCAGATCATAGCAGAGTTTCATGAGTTATATGTGAATCTATAGCAGATAGGCTAATGATGATAACCAATCACCTTCATGTAGGAAAGGTCTTAATACTTCTTTAGCAAAAGTAGGGTAAAAGAAATGGAATAAAGTATCATAATATCTAGAAACTTCTATCTAAAGAAATTAGTTCAGGGAACCTACCAGGATCTTTAAGCCCTAGATTCAAATGTCCACTATTTTAAATCACTCTAGATATTTAGGTAATCTGACTTGAGGACCAATAACTAAACCATGGCAAATATAGTTTAGTCTCTTTTTATTTAAAATAACCAAAGTAAATGGTGACCTTCAGATAATGCTTATGTTTTTATAATAACTAATGTTAAGTTTTCTCTTGAGAATAAAGAACAACTTCCAAGGCATAGGTGTACATTCATTTTTTCACAAGTTTATATATCTCTTTTTTCTTTATTTTCAGGAAGATGGGGAAATAAGTTTGAAAAACAACAGGGTATATTATCAAAGAGAAATTTAAGAGTTTAGCTTTGACAATCCCATTAAGCCTACAGGAGAGAAAGAGTAAAGCCATGTTCTGACTTTGTGACTTCAACCATTACTAATCATCAAAACACTGAAAAAGCTGATTTCAAGATCAAAGCAAAACATAGCAACTTCAAAGACAGATGGAGAGCTCAGTGCTGAAAAAACAGGGTCCTCATAATGTCACCTACATTAGAAGGTTGTAGGAAATCAGGTAAACAAGACCTGTATCTGAAACAGAACTAAGAACATCTGCAGCACTCTACCAAGTTTGGAAATATTTCTCATAATTTGTATTTACTTTGAAAATCTCTTTCTGCTCCATCCAAATGTGTTTTGGGAGCTGAATAAGCTATCTTTACTCCCCTACATAGAACAATAAGCCATGTAATTTACTATTTAACTTTGGAAATTGTAGGAAAATTATAGTGAAAGAGGGTACTGTTAAAAATTTCACCTTGATGGAGTGTGAGAGTGAAGCAGACCTGCCCGGAGACTCCAAGGCAACAGAGATGTCTGGACCACAGAGTTCCTGCTGAGGAGAGCTGCAGGCAGCATGCAAAACCTGCACAAAAAAGGTCTTGAGATCCAACATGGCGGAGAGATCAAGTCTCTGACTTCTTCAGCTGCGCAGGCATAGGGAGTCGTAAACCATCTAAATGCTGTTTGCTCAGGATCTGAGCTGACGTGGATCTGGAGCGAACAGTCTGGGCCTCTCAGAACACACACCGAGCCCGGATCAGCTGAATTCAAGCTCCYGTTYGCCTGCTTCCCGCAGACAAACWGCTGTGACTCAGCACTAAACGATCCCGCTGAAACAACTGGTCGGCCCTTCTGATCCTACGGAGGTAATGCCAACCGAGCCTTCATAGGCAGTGGCCACAGGATTGAAACGGGGCTTGGGAGAGATAGTCAGGACCCATCCGTTGCATTGGTCACCCGGCAAAGGGAACGAAAATTCGCTGAGGGTTCTCAGCCGCAAGCTCTAAAAACTTAGGGTCTGAGGGAATGGCAAACAGGGAGAGTGTGCCCAGTCGTTCATGAAAACAGGGCTCACAGGAGCAGCAGACCTGGCATGTAGCCAGTATTATGGTGAGCGTCACCAGTGAGCAGGGCCTGGCTTGAGGAAAAGTGGGGAAGTGACTAGACATAAGAGAAGGCCCTAGGCACTCAGGATTGGAGACCCACCCAATCTGGGAGGAGGAGCTGCTGCACAGTGATTGGTTCCAGCGTATTGAGAGGAGAAGCTTCTCCCTGTGGGCACAGCTCCACCTACTGGAAGAGAAGTTAATCAAACTCTAAGACTGCATTTATTAATTTTTTTTTAAATTTTTTTTTTAATTTTCATTTTTTTGTTGTTTTTTAATTTTTTTAATTTTTTAAATTTTTTTATTTTTTTAATTTAAATTTAAAATTTTTATTACTTTCTTAATTTTTTTTCTTTTTTTCTTTTCTATTTTTTTATTTTGTCTTTTCATTTCTTTTCAATTTTATTATTCCCCCTTCCTTGAATTCTACCTGCTTACTCTCATTCTGTTTAGTGACTTCTCCCCTTCCCTTCCAATGCCTTTCCTCCCAAGCATCAAATAAGAGTATAGGAGTAAACAGTAACTCAGCAGTCAAACAGAACAAGAAGTAACATGAGCAGCATGAAAAAGCAAGGAAGAAAAGGAGTACAAACAATCAAAGACAGCCTAAATATTCAGGAGGACCTAGAGGCATCAGAAAAATGGTCAAATAAAGAATTCAAGGAATACCTTAGACAGATGGAATGGAACCTTAAAGAGGATATGAGACAGCAAATTCAAACAGTGAAAGAACWCATTGAAAATGAATTACATAAACAGATAAAAGAAGAAGTTAAGCATCTTTATCAGGAGATAGAGATTATAAAAAATTAAAACAATAATTCTAGAAATGAAGGAAACTATAAACCGAATTAAAAACTCAAATGAGAGGTATCACTAACAGAGTGGAGCAAGTAGAAGCAAGAACATCAGATAATGAAGACGAAATATATCATCTTGAAAAGAGTCTAGCCAACTCAGAAAGGCTGGTAAAAAATCACGAGAAAAATATCCAAGAGATATGGGATAACATAAAAAAACAAATTTAAGAGTCATCGGGATAGAGGAAGGAATAGAGATTCAAACCAAGGGAATGAGTAACCTGCTGAATGAAATAATTACAGAAAACTTTCCAGAAATAAAAACACTTCTCTTTTATGAAACTTACCCATGCCTTATCCATTTCACCTGGTGTGTTCCTCTGAACCAATCCTCCTAGTCACAATATAGGTTATTTGGTACCTTATATTATATAACACTTCATATCAATGTTAAGGCACATATCATATTCAATAACAACAACCACCAACTATAAGAATTATTTCCAAATATTATCACTCTGAATATATGAAAACTTTTCTGATCAAAACCTCAGTGTGTCAGCCTCTCATTTTATTACTCATTCTATAATTTTTGTGACTTGGCCTTTAGAGAGCATTTTATTTACCAAAACCTTAACTAATTATCATCAACTTCAAAAATGTTGAATGAAGAAAGATAACCTTAAAAATGGCTATAATTTGTTCTATTTTAACAGAACACTTCACACATCATAAAGTTGTCAAAAATAGAAAAAAATCACCATTTTAAACACAGCTGTTGTTTAAAATCTTTGTTTTCTTTTTCCTTGTTCTTATATTTCTGTATGATTATGTGCATTTTTATAATCTCTCCATCTATTCATTTTTCTATAGCAGAACATCTAATTGCAATCAGAGTCTATACCAAAACTCTAGTTGAATTTATTTCTATGTTGTTATATAATCGATGTAATTATAGTTCAAGAGTATAAGTTTAGTTGCGATTGTTCCTTCATTTAATTAATCATAACCCTATCATTAGATATTTAGAGTAACTCATTTTTCACTGTATGTTTTTGAAATAAATGTTTTAATACATGTAGTTTTTCTAATTATTTTAGAGTTTTAAAAACGTGCACTCAAATGCAAGATTACTAGATCAAATGATAAAAATGAAAGAAAAAAAAGAAACCATTTATCTTTTAAGAAAGAGTATATTAGCTAGTAGTATCCAAGTACATTTAATTGTTTCCCCAGTAATTTGATCTAATCTGGCTTCTGAGCATTCAAGTTCAGCTGTCTTTATTATGCACATGATAAGTAGGTGACTTAGAGATCCTACAGCTTTGAAGTCTGGTTTGGTTCAGTAGAAATGAATGGATACAGAGCAAAGCTCTAGGTAAAATGGATAAGTTAACAAATGAAAAGTGACAGTATTACTTGAGCATAAAATATGTGGCACATTTAAACCACAGTTCAGCATTAAGAAAGACAAATTGTTTATTCTAAGTAAAATATATAATTTTCATTTCAATGAGACAGTAAACTTGCTCTCCATATATATACAGATTATATATGAAGATTTTATATTGCAATATTTGCATTTTAAAATTTTCATTGTTATTTTGTTGTAAATGGCAGTTTATTGTTTTGTTCTGGGCCTGATCTGGAGGTAATTGTATTTGAACCTTTGTCTTTCTTTTTTTTTGCTAGTGATGGGGATTGAACTCAGGACCTTACACATATCAGGCAAACTATACCCATGACCCTTAAACCTATTTTTTTAACTCCCAGTGTTTCTTCCCTCTTCCTCAATTTGGTCTATTTACCATCTCTTGATCTCTAGAGAAGTGCACAAAATTTAAAAAAAAAAGGGGGGGGGGAAGCAGAGTACCTTATTTTGGCTAATTGATTATAGGAGGATTTTGCAATTTTGCTTATTAATCTCCTCTTACTGTGTTGAAATACTCCTTTTGAACAAACAGAAAAGTGTAAAACAGACTTTCTATCTAAGATAYATGTGGCTACCTTATATGTACCATTTATAAAATCATATTTTGCTAGAAGTATCACTAGGGATAGATTCAAGCTTATAAAAACAGATTGAAGAGTAACATACAACAGTAATGTTCAGCCATCTGTATCAAAAAATTATTGAAAGCATTTAGTAGTATAGAATAGCTTTATATATAAGGAAGGATGAAAGAATTTAGTTGCTTGAATATATATAGGAAAGTTATCAAAAAAGACAAACATGTACTCAAAATACATGGTTATCAAAATATGCCAGTTTTATCTTTAATCCAAATTTCAAGCTACTGCTAAACTGATGGATGGTCTTTCTCTAAACAATTCATGTTCTTACTTACTTCCAAGTCTTACCTCTGCTGGAACCTAGACCATCTCCCTCTTCCTTTCTTCTTTCTTTATGGAAATCCTCATAATTCATGGAAGAATTTTCCTCAAACATAATTAAACATTTTACTGTATTCATCATTTACACAAAATGTTCTCAGCTCCTCTGCCTTGCCGGCAAGTCAGCACTCTGTGATTCAAGCCAACAGTAGCAAAAAATAATACATGTCCTATATTTGTATTAGGGTTAAATTTAAATTTTATCATATTTACTCTTTTTGTTGTTGTTTGGTACTCAGGATTGAACCCATTGTTGCTCTACCACTGAGCCACATCCCCAGCCATTTATTTTTGTTTGTTTGTTTATTGAGACTGGATCTCACTGAGTTGAGAGAACCTTGTGAGGTTCTCCTGGAACTTGTGATCCTTCTGCCTCAGCCTCCTGGGTCACTGGGATTGCAGGCTTATGCCACCACAACTGGTGGCAAATTTTATCATGTAATTAATATTTTTAAGAAAAATGTGATAATCTAATGAGATAAATCCTTATAACTATATGTTGAACTCTTAGACTGAAGAGAGTGAATTCAATTCTACTCATCAAATATCTTTTAAGTAACTATTATATTCAATTTTTTATAAATATATATGTTAACTTTTCTTACATCAAAGTTGCTACCTACACCTTGACCTTGACACTAATGATTAAATAAATTTATTGGATGTGCAGTGAAGGGAGAAGAAAGGTGGACATAATAAAGTGTAGGATGTAGAGTCTCCCGCAAGAATATTACTTGTAAGACAACCACATTTGAGACAGTATATTTCACCTTTATTTAAAATATTTGTATTTTCTATCATTTTAAAATATTTGATCTTTTTTTCTCTTTAAATATCTGCTTTTTAAATAACTAGTTTCAATTGTATTTTTATATGTTAAGACCATTTACTGCCTATACAAATAGAAGGCCAGTTCCTAAAACCTGTCAAGCAATATGWTTGAAATTTCAAAATTTGTATCCCAGGAAAACATCAAATAAATCTAATTGATAAAAATCATTGTTCAATGCAAATTCACAACTTTTAATCAATGTCAAAACCTTTTTAAGAAGTCTCCTTGGAACACTGGTAATCAAATTTGTATCTCCTATTAGAATTTAAATTAGTGAAAATGATGAAGATTTTATTTCTGTTTCTAAGCATTGGAATATAACCTACATTAATTGTATGAAGTCATACTTCAATTGTTTTAACATCAAAGACAGACAAAGCGATCCCAAACAGTTGTGTTTTAACATGTGATCATTAAATAACATGTGAATGGAGTTGATTGATTGCTTGCAAAGATCAGAATTCCACATATCTAAATATAATGTAATTAAAAATAAGAAAGAGCTGGAAAATGGTTAAATTGAATTTAAGTT